GGCCGTCATGTTAAATGGCCCACCCTACCCAACACCCAACAAGAGTCACCCTTGCAAGGCTAGAAGAAAAGTTGGGAGACGGCCTTATAAGCCGAAATCTTACAAGTGAATTTTCACCGCACCAGCTTAACTTGAAACCCCATTAAAAGATTTCCTTTCACGTGTTTTAACAGAGTTTATGGCAGCAACCCACAAAAAAACAAATAATTGAAACTCAATACTGAACTGGTTGTCCAAAGAAGCATACCAGAAACATGCCTCAGGGTTATTCAAAATTTCCAGCGCCGTATCCGAGCTTGTCTGAAAAGAAATGACTAACACCTGGAGACACAAGGAGCATACAATTCAAAAAGCCACCATCTTCCCCGAGTAGGCTTAGCGGTGGTTGTTTTAGTTATATTTCTTATTTAATGGTGGAATACCCATTAGGGCTGATTTTTTTTAAGTGCAAAATGTTGCGTTTCACTCAGTTGCGGTTCAAAAGTCTAAAACATGTTATCTCTCGAACAAGTATAATACTGACTTTCTTCGTATTCACAAATTTGACGCCCCCTTTGAAACTTGTTCAAAGATGACAGAGTCCTCTTTTAGAAATCCGGTAGTATAGCACAGATGACCTTTTCTTAGCATACCCGCATTGGTGTTTCTGCTTTCGGCACACGTATTTCTGATGCTAATAAGATCTTCACTTCCCATTGCATTGCTTTTGTGTCTGTGTCCAGTATGTATTTCTCCTTCTCTTCCTTCTTTGTTCTTTCGAAGTCTGTGTCAAATATTTCGGCTTCGATAACACCTATCTCGTTTCTAAACAAAACATTCAACAAACCCTCTTTTCGATTTCATTCAAGAGTTTTAGTGGTATGCTTCTCGAAGAGTGTTTCAAGCAGTGTGACTGTTTTAAACTTGATAAAATACATAAGGTGCCATCTGAGCACAAGTGTTGCGGTCTAAGAATGGGCACATTTTCAAGATTTTGTAAAGAAAAAAAAACCGTCTTATATTATATCTTCTTCTTCTCTTTTTTCAGCACATCCTGGATAACGCACTTTTTTTTTCACCTAAGCTTCTTTATCTGCTCTAGGGAGATTTCATTTTTGTTTCAGACAGCTAGATGAGACCCTAGGAATATCATGATACAAGGATTTTTTTTCCTCCACAATCTCCCTGTAAAAGAATCTTTATCAGATCCTCTGATAGACGGAAACCGGGGAAGTTATAGGATATAGTTCTACAAAATATTCGATCAATCACTTGAGATTGCTTTTATTCTCTTCCTCGGCTTGAAACCATATTTTCGTTCGTGTCTCTAAAAGCTGCTTACCTGGGCCTGAATTCTTTCGTTTCTCAAAACATGGCCAGTGGAAAGAAGTTATCCACCGTAATGAGTTCTATGAATTCGTGAGCATTTTCGTTAATCGTGAAGCCCTAACATCCGTAGAATTCCCGATTCAATAGCAACGTTATTTCTTTCATAGAGAAGGGAATGGTTGGTGTAGCCAGATCAAGCCCGTATAACACTTTTAAAATGTCTTTCACTTTTGTGCTATGAGGAAAAGTGCTATGCCTCCTACATAGTTTTACCTCACTTGTTCGGTAACAGTATATTTCGACCCCCTCCTCCTCCTCCTTCCATTTCAGAAATAAATCAATTGCGGTTTTATTACGCCTCACAAAGAGGGGAGACCCCTGATGATAGAGCTAAGTCAAAGGAGTTCGGACTGGAGGGCTAAAGGTTACCCC